ACCCTTTCCTGGCTGAACCCAGCTCTCTCAGCCTCTTATCATTATGTCAGATGCTCCAGTCCCTTAATCATTTTTCTTGGCTATTCACTGCACGCACTCCAGTATGTCCATGTCTCTTTGTACTGGTGGAGCCCAGAACTGAATACAGCACTCCAGATGTGGTCTCACCAGTGCCTCAATAGAGGGAAACTCTTTTGATCTTATGAAATCTAGCATTACGTGAGAAAGGTGATAATTCAAGGACAACCCAAGTCAGTCATCAAGCTGAGGATCTCTGGGTCTTTAAAATAAAATTGACATTTATTACAAAAGAAAACAAAATTTAATTATTTCCCCCTATGCACATAATACTTGTATCATCTCTTTTCTTGCCTGAGAGGCTCCTGCAAGCACTGAAGGGGTACAGGTTGCGTGTGTTGGGGTGTAGGGGGAGGGCAGAGAAGCTCCAACCTCAGAGATTTCAACAAAACATCTAACTGCTTTGAGAACAGTGAATTTACACCTCATGAACTATGAAAACAATTATGACAAAAACAAAATAAAAAGCAAGCTGCATCTTCAGTATGACTGACAATTCAGGTTTATATGCACAAAATTATCTTATCTAAGAACCTAAACAATCCCCAAATTACTTTACAAAAATTATAGCATAACAAATTCATTAAGTTTTTGAACTTCTGTAAAACAGAACTATGGTGTTACTGAGTTTATACAGGAACACATGTTCAACTTCTGCTAACATACAAATAAAGATAACTTGCACTGAAATAACATTACTGTTGGGTTCTGATAATGTATTTATTTACAAAAAAAACCCCAAAAACAACAACAAAAAATTTTCTAAGTTTATCATGAAGTACTGAGCAGTTAAGTTTTACCTCATTTTGTTGACCACCACCATTGAGTGGCTGTTGCTGATTTTGTTCCAACCACTGTGGTGCTCCTCCGTGGACAATCTGTTCACGTAACCAAACAAGGCTGATAAATGCACACAGAGTGCATGTTACCACGAAACAGCCCTGCAAACAGTCAGCCAGTAGGTTCTCCCTGTTAAAGAAAAAGAAATATTAATGGCAAATACATTTTGCTAATAAGGCTAAACTTAGTAATTGTTAACTACCAGAAACAAATTCTCCTAGTCCAAATCAACAAATAAACAGGTACTTCTGAAAAAAAAAGAATTTATTTACATGCCTAGGTGCAGACAGCAGCTACACACAATTTTTATTTATTTTTTAAAAAAATTTGTTCAAAGCACGTTTCTTTTAGGAAGGCTGTATGTACCTGTGTACAAATGGTTGAGCGCCAAGTTAAACACTGATCTGGAGAAGGTTTTATTTCCCTCTGGCTTGGTTTGTGAAATTACTACTGTTTAAACATAAATTTTCCTGCAAAACAGGATCTGACTCAATATGAAGAAAAGCTTAAAGAGTAGTTCAGGAAAAGCAATCTTCAAGAAGAGCAAAGGAAACATGGTAGTTGCTAAGTAAATTATTTGCTACAGTAAAGGGTCTGTTTTATATGTCTAGATGCATAATATCCAGTCCACTGTAACATTTTTATCTGCTGAGCTGCCCTAACCAAGAAGAATAGAACAGCAGGGTTTGCCTTCGACTGCTCTACATTTCGGGATGTCTTTTATGCCAGATATTCTCTCTATAATTTAAAAATCCTAGTCTATCAAGTCATACATAACTGTAAAGCAGCAGCAACACAGAGTTTAGTTCGCCAGCCGAAACTAGAGATTCATGCAATGCAAGAGGTACTTAAATTGGCTTATGCAACCCTCATCCCTAATTCCAGGTACCCCCTCCCACTTGTTTACACCCTTGCACTACTCCTTAACCACAGTGAATTTGTTCAGGAAACTAACCAACTACAGTACATTCTCTAAAATAGGGAAGAAACATGCCAGCATAGTACTACTCTGCCACCCCCAAAGAAGCGTTAGCCTGGCTCTCCGGGCAGCTGGGCAACCACCTGCACCTCCACAGCACAGTGAATGCCAGGGGGACAAGAAATGTAAACCAATGAGACAAGATGCTACTGAAATTGACTTTGTCAAGGAAATACACGCCAAAGCGCAGCTTCATGTGCCATTAAAATCTGACACATATTTGAGTCCTCTATGTTCCCCTTAGACTATAAAAGACATGAGAGGGGGTGCTCTAGGTTCAGCTGTTTCAGATTCTTCTCAGGAAAATAAAGATTAAAATCTACACGTACCGAGAGATAATGGGAAAAATAGTTATTGATCTCATGAAAGCATGTCACTCCATTAATAAAGATTATTTAAACCTAACATGACCCGAGGTCTCAAATCAAACAGCCCAGCTGAGATGACTTAGCTGAATCCCACAGGACATTCCTTCTAAATCTGCCTGACTTGCAACTGGTTCTACCCAAACTTGAGTTTCAGTTTCTCAGGTTCAAGATAACAAAAAAGTAAGAACCAGTCTGAAACTCTGTTGTGTTAGTATTTACTGATTCTTTAAGTAATACTGACTGAAAAAAAAAAACCCCACAAATCCAGACAACATACAATAGCGTTGAATCGAGGCAATAAAAGCTAAATTCCAGCTAGAAGGCAATCCTTAAAAAAAAAATCCTTATCACATAAGAGACTCAGGATGGATAAAATTACATTCAAAACAGAAAAATGTAACAAAGCAAACAGAATGTGCCACTGATATTACCAGCAATATATATTAACATTCTCCCATGTGGCATCTGAATTAATAAATAAAAAAATTAATTTCCTCCAGTTTAAGTATGATTTTGCAACGTACGTTTCCCCGACATCAAATACAAGTCTTCGTTAACCAGTCCCCATTTTGTAAAGTCAGTTTTCCATCCCAAAGATCCTGAATAACAACTCCAAGGTGAAATGATTTCTACTGTGATACTGTTGACCATACATCTTGTTATGCAAAGCGGCAGCTGCTCGTGTTAGATGATGGAGGAAGGAAGGCACATTGATTCCAAAGCAACCATTTTCACGGTCATCAGACTGGAAGAGTCACTTGCATCAAACTGTTTAAGTACTTACGTTGACAGAATATCTAATGGCAGTGTCAGTAGTGAGCTCACAGAGCCAGTAAACAAGCACTTGTAGATACGACCTGCAGGAAGAGACAGAAGCAGGGTATAAATTCGATTTTGGTCACAGACTCACTTGGAAAGGACCTTAGGTATCCTCTTCTCACCTGGTGTCCTAACGAAATTTATGACAAGGAAAAATCTCAACTTCCAGTGAACTAACAGACCTCGGGACCACATACAACCCCATGGAGCGAAGACGTATTTATTTTAGCTGAGCATTCTTGACAAAGTATACGCTGAAAGTGCAAGAATTGCCATACTACACTAGACTCAAGATTCACCTAGACCTGTCTCCAACACTGGTCACACCAGCACATGCCTGAGGAAGAATATGGAAACAGGTTAAAGACACTTGCAGCAATACCTCCTCAGTACGTTCTCAACTGCTTCATACAAAGCAGCTCAGTTCCTGTGCCATAATATCTCAGTGCTAATTAACCCTTGATGGATTCCACCCATTCATTTGTTCAATCGTATTTTGAACCTGTATAAACTTTGGTATTATGATATCTTGTAGTAAGGAGTTTCTCCATTTCATTATCTGTTTTAAATAATCGTTTTATGGATTCATACTTGATGCTAGGTGACGTTAGCTTTTTACGAGTCTTCAGTCCCATAATCTTAAAAGTAGGTTATCAAGTGCATATTGTATAAATTTTAGAAAATTAAGTTCAGATCCACAGGAGGATGGCACAGATGCTGAGAACAGGATGAGGGAAGAATTGAGGCCTCTATACCCAGAAATGTAATTCCTAAGATTCTCATTCCATCCTTTAGGCAGGCAGAGGTACCCAAGTACATATTGGCACGCTGTGGTTTCTGTGACCTAGAAAGAATAGCTCAGCTATTGCTTCTTGGTTAAGCCTGTTTGGAACTTACAGAAAGTGTATGTTTCGACATCTCTCATGAACCAATCTGCCAGAAATGCCCAAAAGGTCTACTCTTTACGCCCAGCTATTATTCAAGACATAATATAGCACTTGGAGGAAGTTAAAAATTACATCCCCAATGCAATCTACCTCTCATGCTGAAGTTCTGACATTGGACAGAAAGTAATACAAAAAACAACGCAAGATCCAAATATCGAGAATAAGTTGGAACACAAAGGAGACAATGGCTGTAGCTTACCTAATGAAAATGTTCAGCCTCCTTGTAGTCAGTACTACTTACACATTTTATACTGAACAGTCACAGAATCAAATTTAGCAAGATGATACTGATCCTCTTCCAACAGTGACTTTCAGTAGCTTGCCCCTGCCTACCATCTAGCTACCGGGTAGGGGAACACGGAAGGGGCAAGTTACCGCTATGAACTCTGCCGGGCTGAAAAGGTCAAAGAACACAAGCCTTGTTAACTTCCCATTATGCTATGCTGGTAGGACGCCAGTGTAACAAAATTCACTGTGAGATATTATGGAACAGGAAGGGGATTTTGTTATACAAAATCTCTAATCAAACTGATCTCTAAGCAAGCCATTTTTCCTCACAGATTTCACTTGCTCACTCACATATAAGCACTAAGACATGCATGTCCAAGTGGTCTGGACAGGATCATTTGTGGACAACCCTGAAGATGAAGGACACCAGCTAGTAAATTCTCATCATATCTCTTGGATTCCTTTTGATTAGCATTTATGAACCGATTTTAGAGTTGCCTTTCGTACTCTTGTTAAGTGGATGCCATTTGGGATCTTTGCTTCATTGTTTTGTTTCATCCTTCTTGAGCCTGATGCAAAATTCACAGTTCTCCTGTTTTCCTTATCTGTGTAAGCTACAACTCCAGTCCTGTTCTTCATCTTCTTGACACCTTATCTTTAGTCTGCTTGTTCACCCTCTCAATTTTAATGAAATCACATATATGATGCTCTCTAGGAAACAGCAAATACTCCTTTTAGCCCTTCTGCTGGTTCGTCTGCAGCTCGCATAGGAAATTCCATTCATACTTTACTAATGCAAATGAAAATAGTTCTGTTGCACACCCCTACAATTTTAACTGCTACACAACTACATGAAACATGTATACAACAATTCTCTTCAGCTACGTTTAAAACAAACAAACAAAAAAACCCCCAGCAACTGAATCACTGCAGAAAAATACATTCATGCACCATATTGGTGTGTGAACAGTGATTTCTAAACTCTGAGATAAAGGAGGGACTTCAGACAACCCAACTCCCACTCTAGCATTTCCTACTGCTTTAATGTACACATTCACTGCACTCGGTGCGTACGCCTCTTCCTTACACAACGCACCGTATAGGTATCTTGGGTATTTCACTCTAGGAACCATGCAGCTAAGTACAATTATCATAAAGAATAAAACAACTTTGGATTAAATCTGTCTAGTTAATCTTACTTCTCTGAACAGATCACAGCAAACTGTAAAACTGGCTTTTTTCATCCATTAATGTAAATATGCTTTGCGCTAACAGAATAGCAACAGCATATCAGAGCCTGCTGGGATTAGGCTGGAGGTAGGCACAGAGTTATAGAATCATAGAATGGTTAGGTTTGGAAGGGACCTTAAAGATCATCTAGTTCCACCCCCCCTGCCATGGGCAGGGACACCTTGCCCTAGACCAGGTTGCTCAAAGCCTCATCCAGCCTGGCCTTGAAGACAGCCAGGGATGGGGCATCCACAACATCTCTGGGCAACCTGTTCCAGTGCCTCACCACCCTCTCTGTGAAGAATTTCTTCCTGACATCTAATCTAACCCTCCCTGATTTCAATTTATACCCATTACCCCTTGTCCTATCACTACAGGCTCTTGTAAAAAGTCCTCTCCCAGTACCCTTGTAGGCCCCCTTCAGATACTGGAAAGCTGCAATGAGGTCTCCTCAGAGCCTCCTCTTCTCCAGGCTGAACAAGCCCAGTTCTCGCAGCCTTTCGTCATAGGAGAGGTGCTCCAGCCCTCTGATCATCTTCGTGGCGCTCCTCTGGACTCGCTCCAAGTGGTCAATATCCTTCTGATATTGAGGGCTCCAGAGCTGGACGCAGTACTCCAGGTGGGGTCTCACCAGAGCAGAGTTAAACTCTTTTTACTCAACCATGTAAGATGGGCATGCAATAAAGAAGTGAAATTGCCAAAACAAAAGCATAGGATTTATTCCACAAACGGATAACTGTGTGACCTGCCTGTTAATCTAGGAGACAGATTTGTTCACCCATGCATCTCCTTTGGTATGTTTGACAAGGTTTTTTTATGCTGCACCTTTTTCTTCCAGATATAAAATAATGAGAATACTTCCTTGTGAAGCCATATGACAGAAACAGGGAAGACAAAAGACTAGATTAAAAAAGGTTAAGTATTACAGAAAATTTAAAGATTAAAGGCATTTAATGTAAGAAGACAAGACCTATACAAAAAAACCCCCACGCATCCATGAGACAGATCCTGACAAGTTCCAAAAGTAAATGGATTTTTCCAGGTTTGTTAGACTGAATGACTATCATGATGGACACCTTCCTGTGTAAATATGTTACCCTTCACAATACATTAATTCTTAAAGGAATCCATAAACAGGGGTACATGTGCAATGCTAGACAGAAATTAAGTTAAAAAAAAAAGAAGGGGTCACTCAAATCAAAATGCTAAGTCCGTTATGTTGGCTTAGTAAAGGAGTATTTAGAAAATGACATTTGTAAAAACAAAAAGACTTCTAAAACTAAATTGTAGGTGATGACTTCTGGTATCACCAGAATATTCCAGTATTACTGAAGAGCCAGCATCAGGTTTTCAGACAGTTATGAAACAAATACCTTCATCTATTGAATATGATTTTGCTGTCCTTCAGAAGTTTTAGTAAGAAAAGCATTCAACAGTTGCATTTTGAAAGACAGTGGTAGAAAACCAAGACTCATCTAAAAACTTGAGGACATTTGAAATATTTTTTGGTTCTCCTGCAGAGCAGTTTGTAAATCTTGTTTACTCCATGCCCAGAAAAGCTCTTTTTCCTGCACAGGAAGAACGGGCTGTAGAAACAGGATCATTCTTTTATAGCTGATGCCAGCATTGTGCTATTCTCAAACTACGCCAGTGCCAGCTACAAATAAAAGCACAGACCATATTGAGAAACTGTCCAGGGAGATGCATTTACTGGCTCCCTGATCTTTTGTTCACAGGCTATATGACTGTTTGTGAAGACGCACTTCCCACCATTTCCTTCACTGAACACTATATCCCTTTTGCCTTTTTTTTCCATCATCTCTGTATTTTTAGCTTGTTGAAACATCATTAGTTCTCTTTCCATCTGTATTTGAGAAGTGCATTTCAAACTGGAGACTACATCAATTTAAACGTGCACTCTCTTTTTCTCCTAATTCCTTTGCTACTTATAGGCCTTTAAGATTCTTCCAGAGGAGTTTTACTAATCAATTTATGTATGTCTGTAAAGGAATTTCACTTTTCATACAAAAAAAACCCCTTACGCTTTCATTAATAGACAGCTAGAAAAAACAGGACGATTTCTCTAACCTAATATTAATAAACAGTAGCAAATAAAAACTTCCATGTAGATTTCAAAGAAGATAATAGGAAAGAGGCATTTTATTGGAATAAGAACTTTAAAAGCCCTTTTGTGCATTTTCTCCTACCTCATAACACCTTCCTGCATTGCACTAGTGGCTTCAGAGTCAAACAGCTAGAACTTCTGAGTGAAAATAAATGAAATAACGTCTTTGAATTCATTATTTTTTTTAAATAAACCAACAATGGTCGCACAGAACTTGCTGCAGGAAGTGGCATGTTCTCCTGCGCACTAGAGTATTACAGTACAAAACATCAATACTTACATGCAGTAAGAGGTACTACTCCCAACCACGCAAAGGCCACAAGTGTATAATGAAACCAGTATCGTATTGCTGTGCCAATACTCGTAACCAGTCCAGCAAAGATGTCTTGGATTGGAAGCCGTGAAGGCATATCTGGGGAATAAACTGTGTAGAAAAGGCACTTATGAAACAGTTCTTCCTTCAAAGAAGCAGTTGTGTAAAAGTCCTGCCAACTACAAAATGATTTTATTTGGCAAAAGCTTACTAGAAGAATAAGCATATTTTATAGATTCCCATGAGATGACCCCAAACAAGTAACACAAAAAAAATTCACGACACATTTGTTACATTGTGTACTGAGCAGAATGAGAAAATTAACAAACTCCATGCTAGCTTTTGACTTAGAGAAGTTTTCTTAATAGCCTGATTTATCAACTGTAAAGTCTGATCACCTCAAAATTAGCCTGCAAGAAAAAGCGGATTCTAAATTCAGCAGCCCTCCCACTCAGCACCACCTCAAAGATATCCCTGGCTGTTATTTATAAACCTAGTTCATGGAAAGAGCACAAGGAACTAGAGAAATTAGCAATTGCGCATACTGTCAATTTGTTTGTGCTAGATAATTTAGATTCCACTTGCTATCCAACAGCCCCTCCCTCGCCCCACCCCCCCCCAAAAAAAAAAAAAAAAAAAAAAAAAGAGCGCACCAGACAGGAAAACTGAAGGGAACTGATTAAGTATCTACAGACATTGAAATTTACACACAACGACTTTTACTTTCAACAGATACCTATTTCATATCATGCAAGATTTCTTCTAAGGTAGCTCCTATTACAGAACATAAAGCCAATCTCTCAGCCTGTGCACACTTTTTCATATAATAATACATAACAAATTGTCTTGAGTTTTAAATTCAACACCTATATATTACATAGGCCCATTCCTACTCAAAAGCCAAGAAAAAGTGACAGGGCATCTTCTTTTGCAAACAATTATAAAACATCTCTCTCTAACAATGTCATTAAATTTAGTCAGCTTCTACAAGATGCCAAGAAGCAGTAGTGCACAGGATCAGTAACAGATTTGAATGAAGATAATAAACTACAGTTACGAGTTGCACACAGATATAGCTGCCTGGATGATTAACAGTTATGTTGGAAACAGCAGAGTTTGAAGACTTTATCACATATTTTTAAGTCCATAGGGAAACTTACTTTTTATACGAAGTACCAGAGAAAATTTTTTCTTCCCTCTCATGACTCAAAGTCTGTGAAATACTGCTTCAGGCAACCTACCTACACCTCCCTTGTTCTCCAACAAACACCCTTGCTACCTTTACCTACATTCCTAATCAGCCTTTCACTACCTCAGAGACGAAGTCTCCACCTGTGAAAAAACCCTCTTCTCTCCAGGGGTATATCCCTAAGTTTCTGTATCGTAAAAAGAATTCAGGAGTGTAGAACAACAGTGTCAACATGCAGAAGTAGCCGAAGAATGAGGAGAGTTTGGTGCATTTTGACAACATAAGGATTATATTGGGCACAAAGTAACAACAAAACAGTAACTGTAAGGAAAGTAGTAACTGGTTTTAAATTTCAAATGTTCTTAGTTGTCAGGTATCTGGCAAGGAACTGGAATTCATTTAAAAAGGACTAAAAATACAACACTAGGGAAGCGTAGCTGTGAGAACATAGAGCAGTAAATTGAAAGCAGGACACAAACATATTTTGACACTGTCTACCAATTTACAATTTTCTTACTACAGAAACAGATTTAGTATACAAATTGGCAGTGCCACAGAAAATGCCAACTGAAGGCTTAGTAACGACCCTTCAGCTCACACTGAACAAACCTTCCGGAAAACATGAGAGGAGACAAGCAGAACTTTGTTAAGGGTGCTAAAAGGAGAACTACCTACAGTGTATTTGTTACACATTTATGATAATCACTCAGACAAAACTGAACTCAGCTTGAGGGTTTTTTCTGTTTTGTTTTCAAGAAATGTATTTGGATCAACACTTTGGAACTGCAACAGGGGCTACAAGGAAAAAAAAACAAACCTGCATCTTTCAGGCAGTACTGAAAACTCACACAGGGGATTAAAAAACAAAAAGGATGCCCACCCTAATTCAGTAAAGCCGAAGCGTTCATGTTTGCACCTCTACATACTCATTTTTTGAAAGGCTTTAGGATTACAACTCAGCATTCAAATTAAGTGCACAATGTAGCTACTACTCAGACAAGACAAGCTACATCCCACCAATTTTAACAATTTGCCGATCTCTGATGATTTCAGGAGCTGGGGACGGGGAGGGGAGGAAGATTGCTGGTTTTCCTTTGCTTTGCCACACCTCAAAATATATAAAGCTTCTACCACTAGAAGCTTTATTCCATGATGATAACATAAAGCCCTTCTACATCCTACAGCATTTGGGTAGTTGAAATGCCAAAGTTCCTAGCACGACAGGAATCCGGGGTGTACAAGCCTATTGCAGCACTGGAGCTTGCAGCCGCTGGTTTTCATAGCTAATCCCCCCACTTGTGTCTGCCACCTATTGCCATTTTCTCTCCACATTCCACCCCCTTTCATCCACTCCTCACTACCACTGAGAGTCCTGAGACTTTGACACCTGCCACCATGGTATACATCTCCTCCATTCCCTTTTGCACCCTTCTCATCCTTCCTCCGTCCCTTATTTCCTATCCCAGTCACCTTTCCTAATTCAGTTTGAGAAACCAATTTCCTGCATTATTTACCACAGTTCCTCCAAATAAAAATCTCTCTGCTAGAGGCCAGTTAAAGCAACAGTGGAGTTTTTTTCTGCTACATCATGAAATTCAAACAGACTTTCACTCGGTGTAAGTGAGCTTTCACAGCTTTACTTCCACTTCTTTGAGCTGTCCAGGCCATGGGAAAACTACTAGAGAGCTTTTTGGATACTGAGGTCACACCTGTGCAGTGTAACTGCTGTTCTACTTGTGAATACTAGATCAGGGGTGGATTTTTTCTGTTTAGCTGGTTGTTTTCTGGGAGTGGGTTTTTGTTCCACGCACCCCTCCCTCCTTCCCCCAGCCTAATTTTTCCAGGAACACATATATTAGTTTTGCTTCTCCAAATCAGACAGCTCAGGACAAAAATCTACTATTGCACTAACACACATAAGGTAGGAAAAACATGAAACTGTCTTTAGACATTTTCCTTCTCCTGGAAAAACTAAGGAAGAAAGCAAACAATAACGATGACTAGTTTTCAGGGAAACAGCTTGTAAATAAATTATGCTGACAAAAAGACTCAGAAGAGGTAGTGGAAAAAAAGGTTCCCAATGCTCTATCTTACCAAGGTGATACCTTTAAGGTTATTACAGGAAGCTCTCTCATCATTCCTATTTCCTCAGAGGCTATTTAGTACAAACATCACACAACTGGACTTTGACAAACACAAAAGGGACAAAAAGGGACAACCTGCTGAATCTAAAGGCTATAATTCCCACCAAACTCACAACGAAATAAAACAGACAGACACTTGCAATTTAACCTCTCTTTCCCAATCTTTTCAAAGTACCAAAAGTTAATCCAAATGAAAGCTATACTGTCCACACAATTTCCCCTGCAAGGAGATCCGAGAGATATGTAGTCCTGACAAGTGCAGTACAGAAAGGAGCTCTCATCAGAGCAGGATCTGAGTAATAGCAGGGGCTTTCTGAATACCTGTATGTTCTGATATAATTTAATAATTATAAATATTAGCAAACCTGGAGAGTTTCAGACTTCACTTTTGTTACTTGTATTAAAAAAAAAAAAAAAGCAGCAACATCCTGTAGTTATAAATGCCAGCTGCACAACAGAAAAAAAGACGAGTACAGAGAGCACCAGGCTTTTCCTAATCCTGAAACTCTCTTGCTCCTCTTTCCTGTCCCACACCTGCAGCAGAATGCCTGTACAAAACCACCTTCACAACAAATCACCAGCAATGTGTAACTGGTCTCAAAGCTATGGTCCAAGACCCTCCCTGTCTCCAAAGGGCTTACTCCAATGAATGAGAACAGGTTGTGCAGGTTTAAGTATGTTTATCTCCCCCACTTACAGCTAGTTCCACCACAGGGGAAAAAGTGGATTCTTTCTGAAGCACGCAAAAATTTGCAGAGAAGTCAGACGTATGATCACTACAAACTAGTATAAAATACAATGGAAAGTTATCCAAAGTTTTCATGTTACTGGTCAGAGGCATTTTGAAAATGCAAATCTTCCCCTCAGAAGGAAATAAAGATCCTAAATACATTTTCCCAATTGATGTTACACCTACAGGTTTCACGCCTCCCACGAGTCCCTTCCTATAGGGCATCATCTTACACTTTTCAAGGAGGGAAGCTGAGCTGCAGAAAGACACTAGAAAAGCAATAGCCTTCTGCCATGCTGCATCAAAAAAAGCCCTACCACTATTTATTATGAAGGTCCAGATTTTTTTAATAGTCTTCCTTTTCTCCACAGCTGTCACAATGCAACTGTATCCTATTTCATTTCTCACTCTTAAAAAATACTGGCCCATAAAACTTAAAAACAGGTGCATGCCTAGTGTGGAAGAAAGTGAAACATCTTCTTTTGATTAGGTAAAACTGTAATTTAGCCTACTTCACAGAATCTCCACACCTACAGCCCTCTTACCCATAGATTTCTATTTACTATTACACTTGCAAGCCATTTATATGCCACCTCAACCATCCTTGTGCATTGATTATGAAATACGTATGTTATACAGCTCATGGGTTAAAGCACTGGTTTGACCATAGAGGGGTTGCGAGTCATTTTAAGCTGGACTAGATGTTCTTCAAAAGGCCCTTCCAACCCAACCCGTTCGACATCTTGATGATTTGCACTCTCGAGACACACACAGACTTTGCTCCAGACTGCTAAGCTGAAAGGAGAAAAATGCCACCCCTTCTCATGCAAGCCAGGGGTCTAACACAGCATATGAAATGGCACTCATGGATCTCAGCTGCATGTTTACTCTGCACTCTGGAGCTGGCAGCAGACACGTTGAATTCTGTGCCAGCATGTAGTATTTTATTTCAGAAGTTTATGTTTTTCTAAACTGGATGTTCTAGAAACGCTGAAGCTACGGACTGCTGTGTTAAAGTTAGTCCCAATAAACAGGTAAAAAAAAAAGGCTCATTATATCCTTCACTAGAATCTTAACTGCTTCGAAAGATGAGCCCAACAAAATGGGTCGCTCATTTCAGTATCATTATGTAACTTCTTACAGATCATCTTGTACAAAAATAGAGATCTAGAAGTTCGGAACTTAAACATAACATTCGGTATTTAATGTGGAGAATCTCAGTGTGCTACAGGATAGCTTAGGAATCTCAATCAATCCAAATGATTCACAGAAACAAACAGTTCCTGATCCAAACAACTTTCATATTAACCGTTACACGTCAACAAAGGTGGCAAACAACAAGAAAGAGGAAGAACAGTACCAATCCAGGATCAGAACAGTACAGACAGTAATGTCCAAGTGCTTGCAAGCCTTGAATTGGCAACTTTGCACGTATAAATCAACATCCTATTTCAGATTACAGTAATTTATAAATTGAGGAACATCCCACCCACGTGGCTTCCTCCCATTTTACAACCTTTGTATTAACCAAGCTTGTGACACCAGATAGACCACTTACTGCTACCTAAGCGGCTGTATCGATGGAGGAATCAACCCAACCCAATCTCCAGCTAAATATCAGGCTTGTCGCTTCTGTATTTGTGTATTTATGTTAATGTTACCTTCTACAGAAAAGAGAAGTTTTGAAAACTATCTTCTCATGGGAAATACACCCTCACCTTCCTTCACGGCTCAGTGCTTATGAATGTCTAGTGTGACATCAAGAAAAGGGCATACTAGCACATGACAAAGGAATGTGCATATGTGGGGAGGAAAACAAAGAGTAGCTACTCTTTAAAAACTCAGAAAGACAATGTGAAAGTTAAAAAAGAAGAAGCACCTTGCCAGAATTCAAAAAAAAGTCCAAAGCTACTTTTTTTTTTTTAAATAGCTGTATTAATTCATAAATTGAAGAACTCCAGAAAAGGAGTAAATTTTAAAACATACAAAATTGAGCTTCAAAGCGCGCATTTGAAAATCGAGTCATTTCCTTACGTGACTAAACCTTTTTAGGGAATGATACTATTATTAAAAATAAAAATCAGTTCCTTTGTACTCCTGCCAAGAAGCAAATTGGACTTTCTACTCTTCCTTTCCTTCCTTCCAAACAGTAACCAAGTAGTTCGGGTGCTATAAAGAAGTCACAAGATGTCACAGGACTTAAAGAATACATGCACATGGAGTATTTTATGAATACTCCATACACAGAAAGTTATACTAGCAAAAGTGCATTTTTGACAGAATAACAGCAACAGACTTAACAAGCAAACCAAGCTAAACTAAAAGAGAAGTTGCTGGTATTACTACAATATTAATCTCAACCTGGTGCCTGTCAATTGAAGCCCAGATACTAACGACGTATATGTGTTTATTCCGCCACATCCCATGGTGAATTAACTTATTTGAAAGTGCTTTAACCCTGGCATGGTTATAAGCCAGATTCAACTTCATTTTGGATGACTGGCATATACATCAATCCCATCTCTGCCTTATTATTCTCTCTCCAGCACCTGTGACCCTTTCACAGCTCCCACAAGCAGATCCAACTTCCAGACTGGACATCCACATTATTTTCCTAACGAGGAGGGGTAAGAGAAGCTCGAGAAACCCTAACTGCATGTGTGTTGGGTGCGAGGGAAACAGTGAAACAAGACACGCTGGGCAGAGAGGGCTAGAGGAGTCAGTGCTAGGTACCTGACATATGCCACCACTGCGCGCGGCCCGGTAGGAAAAAAGCATGCCGCAACGTGGAAAGCCATGAAGAAAGCGTTACCTGCTGAGGCTGCTAGGTCTGAGGAGCGGTCACTGTGTGACAGGAGGATAAGCAGACCTTTGCTAGAGACTGCATGAGGAGGAAGTACTCCATCTCACGTGAAAGAAAAGTTCATTATTACCAATTTCATGGCTCCCATGCCAAATGGTAACCTGTTAAACCACCGTAATTCCCACGTGCCTGTAATCTGCAGCTACGTTACAAGCTGTGCTGGCAACAGGTATGTCTGTCAAGGGTTAAACTTCTGCATGAACTCCTCTGTTGATAAGGGCAGCTGATAAGCTTTCTAATATCAATAGGAACACATACATAAAGTGCATTTCATCCTCTATTTTTCTATATCTTAAGGAAAACACTATAAGCTTTTGTCTTTTTCTTCATTTAGAACATCTCATCCTCTTTTTTTCTATATCTTAAGGAAAATGCTATAAGCTTTTGTCTTTTTCTTCATACAAAACTAGAAAGCCTTCTTTCTTCTTAACAACTAGTAAATCACTGAAATGCAGTTTGCTGGTCTTGCACAACAAATTCTGTAGAGGACCTAGTAGCAGAATGCAATTTTGAAAGAGGCTAATTAGCTGGTAGGGAGCTCCAGAACTAGGGATCACTCTTAATTTGCAAAGCTTCCAAACAGAAGCAATGTAATGCCTTCATAAAACGTTTAACAGATAAAACCTGCAAGCAGATGACATCTCTTACATTTCTTATAGAAGTCTCTAGCATTTAAAAAAAATAACCTGAAAGCATTGCTGTCATCAACATAAAATTTACAAGAGAAGTTGTGGATGCTCCACCCCTGGAAGTGTTCAAGGCCAGGCTGGATGAGGCTTTGAGCAACCTGGTCTAGTGGAGGGTGTCCCTGCCCATGGCATGGGGGTTGGAACTAGATGGTCTTTAAGGTCCCTTTCAACCCAAATCAGTCTGTGGTTCTATACCGTTCTCCTGACAGTGATAACAAGAGTTAATATTGTATATATTTCACTGCTGATTATTTAAAAAAATGGTGTAATGTGTTTAATTAATTGTTGGCAGAAATGGAAACTTCTGAGGTTCAATATATAGAAGGAAGGTGGATTACAGGATTTTTGGAACATAAAAAACATTAATTAAACCATCTGGCTCCTTAGCCTCAGTTTTCTCTACCAATGTACAAAACCAGTAAAACAATTTCAGAAAAGGTGAGAGGGAGCAGAAGATGGGATGAGCACTCCATCTTTCCAAGTGAGACCAGCTACCCTGAAAAGGAGCTTTGATTTTTAATGTACCTCACACCTAAAACAGTCAAACCTCATCATCTTTCTCAACTCAAGGTAGGTTCTATAGTGCAGGCACTTGTCAGTTTAAAAGAAATTTTAAACTGCATATCTTACATCATGAAGAACCCAGTTCAGCAGTGGTAAATAACAAATCAGCACAAATATATTTAATAAGAAAAATACATAGCACAAGAACCACTTTACCTGTTCAACAGTCAATAAGCTGGCAATACTAAATAATGAGCCTAGCCTGCCACTAAGCCAAAGGACCTCCCTTGTTTCTACTACTATCGGTTAAAATGTAATTAAGAATCCTCTGGGAACTATAAAAAGACATAGTCATTCTTCATCATAAGCTGCCTAACTTATGAACCTAACATAAAAGGTGATGTAATACTGGGTAGTTACTGAAATGCAAGTGGAATAATTATCATTTGCATTATCTATCAAAAACATTTGAACTGAAACTGGCAGAAGGCATGTGGTAGTGTTGCAGGTGGATAGATCAAAGGTAACTGAAAACTGTTTTTCAAAAACAAATTTTGCTGTGGTTCCACCTTAATATTCAGACTTACAAATGCTCAAATTCATCAGTGAAGCTGAAGACATGCCATACGCTGTAATGCTGACAACAAAAGAATGGGACTGAGGCAGTCAGAAAAGGTACAGAGTATTACTTCTCTTAAGGCTCACGTAAGGTCATGAAAGAACTGGATTACTCATTATTTAAACAACTCTCAGTCTGCAATAATATGCGCAAGAGCTCTACTTCAAACAAGAATACAGAAGTTAAAGCACAAGTTTAGGATCTATCATGCTGAATGCAAAGTAATCAATTCATACATACTAAAAGAACAAAAAGAAAAGAAATTCTGAAAAAATAGGAGCAGTACAACATACTTACTTGGTGTGAAAGCAAATCTGTGCTTACATAATTCACAGTACTCTTTTCTGCTGTGTTTAAGCCACTGAACTAAGCTGCAATAAAAAGTAAAAAATATTAATACACACTACTGCATCTCTCCACCTTACCCCTCCATTAAGGAAAACACACCAATTCTGTTTTCAAACATAGATGAGGATATTGCTAGTATCAAACAGGACTTAAACTGGCATGTGTATTAAGTCCATTTAGGCCATCAAGCAAATTTCATAAACAGAAAAAGGTAAACTGATGATGAGTAACAGTGACTCTTCAATTACATCATTTATACTATTGATAAAGCACATTTTTGAGTATGTTACTGAAATAGGTAATAACCCAAAGCATACATGCTGTCATAGACACCCATTAGTGACACTGATGTTTAAAAATACCTCAAGACATGACACATACACACCCAAGACTCAGAACTGTTGTATTTGTGAAAGAATGGATATTAAAATACCACCAAAATAAACATGTGCTATAGACCAGAAATACAGTTTTCACTTTAGCATTTCCCTAATCAAACATATACCTCAAAATGATCAAAAAGTGCCAGGGTATTTTTATTTCTTGCTATGAGGTTAGATGTTCTTTTACTCACAACTAAGCGGGCAGAAAAAACCCAACATATGATTTTTCTGCTTAGTTTTCATAAAGCTGACACACAAAACTGTAGTCATAAAGACAATCAATTATCAGACTTTCCTTTTCACATGTAACTGCTAAATTATTTGAGAACTGTAATGAGCCATCATGTAAAAAACATCAGAACCCTTAACACATTTCCTCTGAAAATAGGGTTTTCTTACTAGTTAACCTGAACACTTAGGAAGTATTGTATTCAGAAACACGTTAATTTGTTTTATTGAAAAAGAACAAACAAACAAAACCCCACCAAAACAAACAAACTCAAACACAGAACTTACCATTCCTGATGAATAAATTTAATACTGCCGGTACACACACACGGATGATACAGGGGTTTCTCAGGAGTTCCTTCAGATCGACAGACTCTGCATATATCTGCTGACAAGGACATAAAGCTTATTACCCTACCATTTAGAACACTCAAATTTAAAGACAAATTATACAATTAAACTCTAGAAATTTTGCTATGTAGCAAAATGAAGCCAAAATAAATTGAAAGAGGACAGAAGACAGATTTCATCTGATGCAAGACACGAGAACTGAGACATCACCAGAAAAATCAAGAATGTTGTCTGCCTGATCATATTATGTAAAAACATCAAAACATGTCTTCTTACATTTTTAACATTTTTAGGCAAAAGACACAGTAAAACTACATGCAGAGGTGCTTTTTGCCTAAAAAATTTTATCACTAAAATAACATCTAGATTGCTAAGGACAATCTTCCTGAAAGTGGAGACTTTGAAATGGAAATATTCATTCTGAGTTTTGAACAAGTTAAACAGAGGCTGAGCAGAAGAGATTTACTAATGTCTAACAATGACTTAAACATGCCATTTGCTATTCTTGAACCTCATGCGGATGTTCCTTGGTGCTCTTGATGAAAGGGTGGGGAAAAAAACCCCATCATAACAAACAGGAATAGACATTTTGTGGGTTTGCCACCTGAGCTGAGTAATGCTGTCCATTTAGCATGGACAGTCCAGTCACAATAGAAAGGCCATTTTCTATTTCTTTTTTCATAATTTCAGTAATATTTCAATAGGTTCTGCACTTCAGTTGTAAGAAAATATAAAAAATAGAGAATAAATAAAGATTGCAAGATGTTTGTGGACAAAGAAGTGAGTGTACACCTCTCCCTCTAAAAAGCAGATGTCTGTTTTAATACCATTCTGCTATTCAGAGCATTTAAACACACAACCAAATATAAATAAAAATCAAGTATTTTATTTACTTATTGACAGATGCATAGTATCTTCCATTTAGCCCTCCTTTAATACCACTGCACTTTTACTTCTATTAAGGAAGTGAACATAAAATGTCCACTTTTACAGAAGATTTAAGTTTAGGATTTTCTCTTTTGTTAATCATTTCCCAATCAACTACCATTCAGCAAACCTGCAAGAGTGTAACAGACTTAAAGTCCTGATGTAAGAATACTGAAAATATGCACTTTCAAGTCTGAATTGCCTATCTTTGTTCTTGGTTGAAATCTCCAAGAGCTAATGTTTTCTGACAAAAAGTTCCAAAAGGCAGAAAATGTTAAAATATCCATGTTTTTCTAAAAATAAGTGACAATATGACCATATCCATAGCTCACACAGCATTAGAACAGTTTCTACACCTAAAGCAAAAGAATTCAACTGATTCCAAAGAAAAAAATAATAGTATATCTATTTAAAAGAGAGATTTGAATTCATTCGTGCAGGCCGACAACCTAGCATTACAAGCAGCATGTATTCAACACCACAACCACCACCCTACCAAGAGACACAGGGTACTTCCGTCATGGTCCTGTTGAGCAACGACACATCGCTGCAAACATCAAGAACCCCGGTTTCTCTGCAGACAAGGACAACCAGAACCGTTACTTCACGTGACAAATGATTCTTTTATCCCAGAGAGTGTTTCCAGAGGCTGTACAGGCCGGAACAGCCTCTTCAGCTGACTGGCAGGACCCAGTGTGCCCACCTTCCTCCAGCATTCACTCAAACGGAGCTATTTCACTACCATAAGCTGGCAACTTTGTAGGCTGGATGGATCATCAGACACGCACAAGAGCCCACACAAGACAGGATGTGAAACCGCTGCTTTAAGAATACTCTCTGACACCAGAGACAGTGAGTTAAAAGCACACGGTTCCCTGAAAGACCCCCACAGCTCTCTGAACCCACTCACTTACGGTCCATTGATTTTCACCGCAGACTCTTCACTTACTCTCGAGACGGGTGGGAAGAAATGTAGTTTGCTTTACTGGAAGCAAGTGAATCCTTTATTTGGAAAAGGATTGACTCTGTTACCTTACTAAAATAAGTTACGCCTAAATCTTACTTTTTAAAGGCTGTGAGGATTTCTAGATATTTCCACTTGTTTCATAAATCCAAGTAAACACATATGAGAGTAGCAATCTAAACTGTTAAGAAGTAGGTAGCTTCAAATCAATAAACCCAGCTAAGGGTTGACATGTAAATGCAATAGGCACCTTATGACCTACTGTCAAGTTCAGAGTGAATTCCACCGTGTACTGGATGCTGGTTTTCTACTTGTACACACATTTTGCATCCTGTTTGTCACGCGTGCCTTTTGGAAAGAACGCCCTCGGGTAATACAGTTCGGTTTTGTTCCCCTAGAGAATGATACTCTGCCTATCACCTCTCTAACTGAATGTTCACCACTGTAATATCCAGAAGTGAAAACTATGCTATTTAGCAACAAACTGATTTAACTAGAAACACAAGCGCCTCTCACCAGCAAAACCTGGTATCTGATGCCTTCAGGCACAGATCTCACATTTATTCTAAGAGGCAAAGACCTACCACTTAGGTCTGACCATTATTACCCTAAACTGCCTGTTATCTGGGCTCTCACCATCCAGTTAAGTCTTCTAGCTCCACAATACAATTCCATCAAGGAGGGAAACCCAGCAGAAATACGATGGCCTACCCATAGTTAGCAAAGTCCATTGGAGGCTTTGTAGCAGAAGCTCAGGCACAGTGTTGCCTCAGAGCACAGGTTTCCTCTTCCTTCAGGCACCACCTCAGTCTTTGCTGCCGCCAGTGTTTAAAGCCTTCTAACCTTGGGAAGCCTCTTCAGCGTTCTGGCAAGCGCAGTGAAATTCTAACAGTGGGAACTGAAGTTTGAAACTGTAGAAGAAGTTTGTAACATTCTAGTGGTATTTATGGAAAGTGAGTATATAGACTGGTTACTTTCATCCTACTGCTCGGAGCTTCTGAAGGCAACATTGATAAGACTACAATCTAATATCTAAAGCTACATATATGTGTGTGTGTATGTATATATTTTTATGCATACATGTAAAACCAGAAAAGTCCAAATGCCAAGTGTAGAGTTTAACATGAAGGTTTAGTTAAAGGAGTCAATGCCTTAAGATGTCACTAGAAGCCCCCTTTTCTTTCTCTTCCCGAACACTGCTCACCAAAATAAGCCCTGTAAAAGCAGTTATGATCAAACGCTACCACTGCTAACAGCCTGTAACAAACTATCAACTGTGCTGTTCGAATAAAATCCACCTAGATGGATTTACCAGCTACTGGAATGAGGAGAACTCAGCTGGCCATTTCCGAGTACCTGTTTCACAGTTTGCTAATAAACTAGGTATTTTGGCAACTAGTGGCCAAGCAATAAAATCTCACACTATTCATTTCATCAGTATAAGTAACCTTTGGCATGGGGAGGCATGACAGACTTGAAGCAAGCTATTTTAAAAGTTGTTAGATTTTAAAAAGACACTATTTTGATAAACCGTCTGTTTTCACAAGTACTAAAGATGTCTTTAGCTTAACCCAAGGGACAGCCCTACAAAGGTACTTGTCTTATCTCATCTGGTGTGTCATGTTTTTCCAGCTTTTTTTTTCCTTTTTAATCCTCTCAACCTGGAAAAATCAAGTGTCACTAGACACAAAGCCACATTCAAAAAGATGCCAAAGTAACAAAAGCCAAGTTGCCAAGTACTTCCCTTGGAACTGTTTTGCTACTGCAATATGTATTTGTAGCTATTGCTTAAGATGACAAACAAAGCCCAAATACTGCCAGAAACATAGCACAACACATATCCTTTATTTATTTTGGTTTACATTACAATATGAAGCCCTGGTTTACGAAAATTCTGCAATATCAGCTCGAGCTACGCAGTTCCCCAACATTATCTGAGCGGAGCAAAAGTGCTGACGAAACACACCTGGGTCTGATCTCAAGTAAAGGAATACCCTTAAGAGTGGAAGCTACACATTAAAAACACATGACTGATCTCTGACACCTTTTTTTTTTTCCCTAAATTACCTAAGTTACCGTGTACTGATCTCTTGCAGGAGACAGGAACGCGTCAGCTCCTGCATCATTGTACTCTTTCAATTTTTGGATCAGGTTTTCCAACACACACCAAAAAGTTAACCTTGCAAAAGAAGCAGCAGCAGTTAAAGCTGCTGGCATTATTCACCCCAAAGCGGGCATTTGAAACCCGGCGAGTTACAGGACGGGGTACGACAGCGCCTGCCGGACACGGGAAAACCGGGCCCGGCGAGGGCTCTGCACGACCGGGGGCAGCCCGGGCCCCTCGGTCTCCTGCGCTGCCCCACAGGAAGCACCCGGCTTCTGCTTCCCGCGCCGGCACCTTCTCGC